GAGGCCTGGCTTTGGCGATGGTTCGGGGAGGGGGCCTGAGACCCGCGCAGATGTCGAAGAAGCTCTTGTGCGGCGCGGGGGGGGGGCGCGCGCGGGGAGGCAGCTGCTCCCGCATTGGCTCTGAGCATGTGCGCACTGCCTTCTCTTTGCGGCTGTGCAGCGTGCTTCTGGGCGTGTGCAGAGTGCTTGGCAAAGGCGGGAGGGCCTGGCCGGCTCTCGGTGCAATCGCTGGGGCAGCGCAAGAAAGGCATGAGTGTGACCACAGAATAACCATCGGTGCTTCGGTACCTGATATCCACCCCCCCAGGGGCAGGGGAGGGGGGGAGCTGCTAGTGCAGGGGCGGCCAAACTTGCTTGATGTTAGAGCCACATAGAATAAACGTTAGATGTTTGAGAGCCGCAAGACATGAACAGATATTACACGTTTTTTACGGGGAAATATGCAAATCTGCTTTTTATTAACATTAAATGAGACTGCCAGAAATAATGACAAAAGTGGTAAAAGCAGATATTGATAATGCTATTTATTTGTCCGATTATATTTGTTTGCTGATGATATTTAGTTTTCCCAGCCGTCCTGCCAGTAGCCACACAATATGTGTGAAAGAGGTGCATGCGGCTCCCGAGCCACAGTTTGGCCACCCCTGGGCTAGAGCTTGTAGACATTTCCTTTGAAATCAGCTTCCATGAACGGCATATGAACAAAAGTTCTTGATGCTCAAGCCTGCTAGTGCTTCCCTTAGGGTTAGCAGATGGCCTCTTTTCAGACAACATGACCTCTTTTTTGGTGGCTGTCCTCTCTAGGGCTCTTTTTTAAAAAAAACCTGATGAAAATGGCTTCTTTTGGGGTTGGGTTAGGAATATTCCTAGTTAGGAGCTATTATCACAGTTTAAATGGTAAAGGTAAAAGGTTCCCTTGCTCGAAAGCCAGTCAAGTCCGACTCTAGGGCTGCGGTTTAAATAGTAGGGGTCTTTAAAATAAGATTTGTTTTAGGGATTAGTTGTTTGAAGTAGTCAGTTAGAGAATGTGTCCTCTTTTTGGCTTTTCAAAATATAGTAATCGTACTCTGATTGCATCTGATGTGATAAATCTGTTGGTTTGATGCCACAAGAATACTTTTTTCCCAGTTACAGAGGCTATGACAGCTACCCCCCACCCCCGCTGAAGTGCACATTGTATGATGACAGTATAATCCATTAACAGTGCTGTATCCTCTTAAACGGGGAGCTGCGGTGGCTCAAGTGGTTAAGACGCTGAACTGCAGGCTGTGCAAGGTCAGTAGTTCAGCGGTTCAAGACCCGGGTGCCGCAAGACAGGGTGAGCTCCTGTCTCTAGTTCCAGCTCCTGCCAACCTAGCAGTTCGAAAGCAAGAAATTGCAAGTAGATAAATAGGGACCACTTCGGTGGGAAGGTAACAGCGTTCCGTGCGCCTTGGTGTTTAGTCATGCCGGCCACATGACCACGGAAACGTCTTCGGACAGCGCTGGCTCTTCGGCTTTGAAACGGAGATGAGCACCGCAACCCTAGAGTCAGATTCGACTGGCTTTCGAGCAAGGGAACCTTTACCTTTACCTTATCCTCTTAAACACAGTTGTGCTCTAAGGAGAAGCTGTGGCTCAGTGGTAGGGCATTTGCTTTGTGTGTGGCAAATCTCAGGTTCAGTCCCTGGCATATCCAACTAAAAAGGCACTAGGGATGAGAAAGGCCTCAAACTGAGACAGGGGAGAGAGACTAGCAGTAGGAGTCGCTGGATGCTGACTTTGATAGACCAGTGATCTGATTTTGTACAAGGCAGCTTCTTGTGTATTCAAAAAACCCTTCTAAGCCCACTGGTTTTAATTGACTTTGAAGAGTCTCTGCTTAGGACGGCACCGTTGTGGTGGAGAAGCAATTCCCCAAAATGACCTTATGATATCATTGCAGGTGACAATTAGGTACTCTGCTGTGTTAATGCTGAGTGACACAGAAGTGTGGTTTTTCCATTTTCATATCTGCAAATATTATTGACCCCAAAAAGGATTAAAGAGAATTATTTACATAGAGAAAAATAACAAAATTTTATTTATACCCCACCCTCCCCGTTAAAACAGGCTCAGGGCAGTTTACGTGAAAAGTTAAAATACATAAAACAATTATAAAACCAATTCATAAGGTGCTAGTGAAATATCAAACATTGCATAGCAATGGCAGAGCATAATAACAGATCACTGATAATGAAATATAGTCAGCTTTACTGTTAGAGCTGTTACCTCAGTCTCTGTGTGCTGGTGGGGCACAGGCTGCTAGTGGCGATTTCAGGGCTAGTATTCAGTTATTAGGTTATTAGACGGGCCCTTGGTTGAAAGCTCAGTGGAAGAGCTCCATCTTGCAGGCCTGTGGAACTGTTGAAGGTCCTGCAGAGCCCTAATGTCTTCTGGGGAGCTCATTCCACCAGTGGGGAGCAGCCACTGAGAAGGCCCTGGCCCCGGTCATAAAAATTAAAATAAGTTTTCTAAATAGCTTGATTATTGAAAATTCTTATGTTTTTATTATTTTATTGTGTTGCTTTTACTTGGTGAGCTGCCTTGAACTGCTCTCTGGAGACGCTGCATATAATTTTTAAACAAATTCATGATTTTCACTTTTTAAAATTGAAGGGTAGTTTACAAAAATTAAGGTATTAAGTTATTGTTAGTAAACAATGTAAGGACATGAAAAGAATTTCAATATGTACAAGTTCAATGTAATTGTTTTTTTGTTTGTTTTTGGGTTCAGAAATGTTTGTGACCAGAAGTAATTGAGCATCTTGATGGCAAAAATAAAAAGCAAAGACTCAAAAGCTCCAACAAGTAGTGGCACAGACAAGCCTGAGAATCTTAAAAATCAACACAGAAAGAAAAAGAAGAAGAAATTATTTTGGAAACAAAATTTCAAGCTGGCAGAGACGAAGATGCAAAAAAGTACCAATGTGGTGACATGGTTGCCACCCAAAACTCCCCAGGAAGTTTCATCTAACTGGAAGGCCTTGCAGGAGGTATGATAACAGCAATGGTTTCTCCTTTGGACCTCTGTGCTATAGTAGATCCAGACAGATGCTGGGGCTTGGAGGAGGTGGTCTAATTTCAGATCCATTCTGGGCCATGATACTCACTGCTTGGGAAGATTGTTGACACCCATTCAAGAACAACCCCAAAGATCTATTTAGTCTTGTTCTTTGATTTTCTCTGCCCTGCTCTAAGTTTTCTCTTTGGAAACTTTAGAGAGTGCTGCAGTGTGTCCGGGGAACGTTGTGCCTGTTGGGAGTTAAATGTTGATGAATTTGGCAATTTCCTGTATGGAGGAATGTCTTCCATAAATTGTAAATACGAGAGAAGATGTTGCAGTGTATTTGGGGAAGAAGAGTTGGATGTTTGTGGGTTTCTTTTCTTCTGTCACTCCATGGAACCCTTCATTCTCGTGAGCATAGTGATCTTTCATTTGCAACTTTAAAGTCAGGTTAAAATAAAATATCTAGTGGACATTATACGTTCAGAGATGAAGGAAGACACCTGGTTTCTTTAGAAAGACCTGGATGAAAGAAGCCAGGCTGGGATGATGTCCAAGGAAGACTGTGCAGAGGAAGGCCATGGCCAGCCACCTCTGCTTCTCACTTACCTTGAAAGCCCCTTGCAGGGTCTGCCATAAGTCAGTTGTGACTTAACAGTACTTTACGTACACACGGTGGCAGTTGTTAGGCTACTGGCCAATAATGAGTTGCTGGTGAGCAGTTTTGGGGTTGGAAGAGTGATGGGACAAGGCCCTGCCTTTGGCAAAAATGCACACACACACACACCCGTTTCCCTTCCCACAGTCACCACGAGCATATTGATCTGTTGCCTCTTGGTTGGCAGCTGGAGGGCCAGACAGCTCCTTTCAGAGGTCCATGTTTGACCCAAGATTGCTGACCCTCACGATTGACTCCACTCCCCTGAGTCTGGCTAATCACTTTGCCTGCCTCTTGGCCTGTGCTGACTCAGCAGCCAGGCTGTGCCCATGCTTGCATTTACACTGGTGAAGCGGCGTGTTACAGAGCTCTTTCCAACCTACCCAGTACAAAACACAGTATAAGGTGGAATGCTGTGGTCATGAGGTCTGGCAAAGGATGCCTCTAAGATCAGACCTGAAGATCATAGCCTGAGATTTCTGCCTTCGGCCCTTCTATCTTCTTAAATTTTATATCATCCAGTCTGATAAAGAGCTCTGATGAGCTCAAAAGCTTACACGATCTTTAGTTCCGGTTTGGTCAGCTCTAATAAAAGGTATTACTTGGCTGTTGTTCTTGCATGGACCAGTACAACTTTTTATAATGCTGCCTTGCTGGGTGGGAGGGATGTTGGATTGAAAGGGTTGCTGGATTGAGCCCCTTGACCTCTGCTGAATTCAAATGTGTGGACTTTTCCTGTCACATAAGCTACTGAAGCAAAAACCTGCTAGTTTGGATTCTGCTGTTACCAGAGTCGACGCGTGCTCCAAGAAGAAACGTCCAACCAAAGAGGAGGGCATTGTCCCCAGACTGGCAGAAGTAAACAGAGCTGAGAAGAGGCTGAAAGGCACATCTGTGGAGAGAGCCAAGCAGGATCATGCTGAAGGCCCAGTTTGCCCGGCTCTCCCAAAATGGAAGAGATCTGCTCCTGGAAGGAACTTGAGCCACGCTCAGAAAGATAAGAAAGAGCATAAGGGAGGCGAAATAAATGGCCATGTGGTGCAGGACTACGGGGACATTAAACACACAAAAAGGAAACCTGAAGAGCTGGCAGAGTAAGTACTTTGCTTAGGAAACTTTTGGCAGAATGGGAAGAAACATTATGGTTCTGTGGGGTCAGCCCCAAATGTTCAGGCTTGACAGTGTTATGGCCAGAAAGGGATTTCAGCTTTTTAGATCCCATATCAAATTCCATGCGCCTGGGCAGCCAGACACGTGAGTTGGTTGGATCAGAAAGACACAAGTCCCATCTTGCTTGTGTGTGATTTATTAAAACCTCCCATCCCACCCTTTAAAAAAGTGTTCTGTGGCCTCACCCACGGGTGGTGCGCTTTGCAAATCCCTAGTGAGGTGATGAAGGGGAAGAGATGCACAGACGCCTGCATGGCCATGCACCCCACTCGGCATGACCAGGGATTTTAAGGTGGGCTTGCAATAGCCACTCATCTGGCTTCAAACGGATGGATGAATGTGCACCACTGAGCTCTTATTTCAGATGCAACTTCTCCATCTTTCATGGATCAGGGAGTCCCAAGTGGGGTCATCTCATTTTTACCCTCAACAACCCTACGAAGTAGGCTAGTTCTGAGAGACAGTGACTTAACCTTGAATCCACTCCCCATCCAAGCAGTAGCTGGATCTGTGGTCCTTTTAGACCCAAGCCAAGCCTCTGCCTGCTGTGTGGCGCTAGCAGCCTTGCCCGCATGATGGCCATGTGGCTTTTGTGTTGCCTTCCAGCATCTGGTTTGACGATGTGGATCCCGATGACATCGAAGCAGCCTTGGGGCGAGAAGCAGCAAACGTCGCCCGGAAGCGCCTGGGCATGGAAGAGAAGCCCCAGCAGCTGGCAGAGACGACGCTGGTCAAGGAGGAAGCTTTTGAAGGGTATCTGAAATTTATTTATTTATTTATTTATTTATTCATTTGATTTTTATCCCGCCGAAGCGGCTCAGGGGCGGCTTACAACATTAAAACCAATAAAACAGTGCCTCTAAAACAATCTATAACAGTACAATAAAATCGCTATTTACACACAGTACAACATACCCATGGCGGCAACTATAAAGTGCAATCATGCTTAGTCTGAGTTGTTAAATGCTTGACGGAATAGCTCCGTCTTCACCGCTCTCCGGAATTGGCAGAGATCCCGGAGAGCGCGGATCTCATGAGGGAGCTGGTTCCATAATGTTGGTGCAGCCAAGGAGAATGCCCTAGTAGTTGTTAGTTTGGCATCCCTAGGGCCAGGGGGGACTAGCCGGTCCTGCGACCCAGATCTCAGTGCTCTCGGGGGAACGTACGAGGAAAGGCGGTCCCACAGGTAGACAGGCCCCAGACCATAAAGGGCTTTAAAGGTCATAACAGCACCTTGAAGCGTATCCGGAACGCTATTGGCAGCCACTGCAGCGCCCTCAGCACCGGTTGGATGTGTTCCTTCATAGGGGCACCCATCAACAACCTAGCTGCGGCATTCTGCACCAGCTGCAGCTTCCGATGTTGCCCCAAGGGCAGCCCCATGTAGAGAGCATTGCAGGAATCCTACCTCGAGGTAACCATCGCGTGGATCACTGACACCAGATCATTGCGTTCGAGGAAGGGGACCAGCTGCCTAATCAGCCGTAGATGGTAAAAGGCTGCCTTGGCAGTGGCTGCTACCTGGGCCTCCATTGTCAAGGAAGCATCCAGGAGCACTCCCAAGCTCCGGACCCTCGCTGGCAGCCTTGCCCGCATGATGGCCATGTGGCTTTTGTACTCAGTACTCAGAGACAAGCGGATGAATGCTTCAGTCTTCTGGGATGTCACTGTTTTGTTTAAGGGGGGGGGACTTCCAAGGGGAATATATACTGATCTGCTCCAGTATGAATCTGTTGATCGGGTAGAGCTGCCAGGCCATCAAAGAATTAGCTCAACACTCGAGTGTGTGTGACTGGCCCAAGGTCACCCAGTGAACGCCCCTGGCACAAGTGGGGATTCGAACCTGGCTCTCCCAGATACTAGCCCTGCAGTCTTAAGCAATAACACTCCAAATAGTAACACAAATGCAGATGGTGCGAAATAAAAGGATGAATGTGTATTCAGTTGGAAGAACCCAGCTTTTCTTGGTTTAGAGTCTTAGATGCAGGATTTGAACATGTGTTTAGCACATGGAGCACATAGAGCCTGCTACCACCAGTCAGGTTCCTCCTGCAGTGAAGGGTGCAGATCAGGCCAGAAGTTCTCTCTTGAAACTGAACTGGTGGCAGCAATTCATTTTTAGCTGGGACAGTATTTTGAGCAGGGCAGGGGTGGGGAGCAGCAGCAGCTCTGTTGCCTGACTGCCCCCCCCCCATGGGAGCTGGGACACAGGCAGAGGGCTCTATCGCTGCCTCCTCCCCAGGGTGAGCGACAGCAGAGGCTTGGACGGAGCTCTTCCTCCTGGCATCTCAGCTGCGTGTTACCATTTCCTGCCTCTCAGTTGTGACGTGGGAGGGAGTAGCTGAGGTGTGCAGTAATAGCGTGGCCAGGCCTCCCTGGCAGAGCTTCCACTTGGCATGCAGACAGACCCAGCTTCAGTCCCTGGCATTTCTGGTTTAAGAGGACCAGGTGATGTGAAAGAGCTCTGCTTGAGACCCTGGAGAGTGGCTACAAGGGGACTGCTTTGCCAAAGCCTCCTGCGTGGTGTCTAGGGCAGGGAAGGGCATTGCAGAGTATTTGCTCCATGCCCCAGCTAAGAAATTTAAATATTTAGGTATAGTTTTGCAAAAAAATATTGACAAAATGATAAAGGATAACTATGAAAAAACATGGAAAAAAATAGAGAGGGAAATGAAAAGATGGAATCACAAAAAGGGATTATCAACTAGAATAAGAAGCGTTAAAATGTTTTGGGTACCAAAGTTAATGTACCTATTCCAAACACTGCCTTTGGGATCGATGAAAAAAATAAAAATTGAACAATGGAACAGAATATTAAAAGAGTGGATATTCAATAGTAAAAAATGTAGATTTCATAAGAGAATAATATATAGTCACAAATCGGAATTTGGATGGGGAATCCCGGACTTAAACATCTAGTATGAAGCCTTTCAAATAAAACCAATATTAGAAATAGGTGAGGAAAAGGCACAAAAGTGGGTTAAATTTGAAAACGAGGTCCATGCCTCAGCTTGGGAGGAAGGAAGTGAAATAGATGATCATGCGTGCTGCCCTTTCGGGGCTCGAGTGGATCCCCCATTGCTTATCCTTACCCTTTAAGGGAAGATTCATAAACCTTTTGCTTGGCTATTTGGGTGGCGTTTCCTGGGGCCAGTCGCTACATACAGTCTTGTGCCCATTGAATCTTTTTCTTAAGTGATTCCAAGAGAGCAAACTCATGGAGGGCTTAGGGTTTGGAGTCTGGTGTATGGCTTGCCCTCCCCCCCACCCCCCAAAATGGTGGTGCCTTTGATTGGGAGCATTTCCGTATCTCAAGGGAGCAGAGTTTATGTGGGGAGCCAGACAGCAGCGGCAACATGTGACTTAACGAGACTCTCTTTTGGGCAGATTGACCAGGGCCGTGGCTATGGACTGCGAGATGGTGGGCGTGGGACCAAAGGGCGAAGACAGCATTGTGGCCCGCGTGTCCCTCGTGAACCAGTTCGGCAAGTGTGTTTATGACAAGTACGTCAAGCCCACGGAAAAAGTGACGGACTACAGAACAGCCGTTAGTGGGATTCGGCCGGAGAACTTCAAAACAGGTAGGTGGCCCCTGTGCTTTTGCGAACATCTGGAGCTGCCTTAGTCAGCCAGTCCCAGCTGTGCTACCAGAGATCTTTCAGTTCAGGAGGGGCTGGATGTGAGATCTCTCACATGCAAAATACATGCTCTGTAAGCCATGGCTTGCCTTCATCATCTAAGGCTTGCACTGCTTCATATTCAGTCAGGTCATAGGTCTGTCTAGCCTAGTCTTGTTGGCTCTGATTGGAAGCAGCTGTTTGGTCTTAAGCCAAGATCTTTCTCAGCCTTGCTATCTGAGATCCCTAAACTGGAGATTCCAGGGGTTCAGCCTGGATTTGCACCTCTGTGCAAGGCATGGGCTCTGCACACTTTTGCCATATGATTATTTCATTTATACCCCATGTTACTCCCCAAAGAGGCTTACAACACCCTCTTACAACCTTTTATCCTCACAACAGTCCTGTGAGGCAGGTGAGACTGAGAGTGTGTGGTGGGACCAGGGTCACCCAGCGAGCTTCCGTGGCCGAGGGGGGAGCTAAACCTGGGTCTCCCAGAGCTTAGTCTGAGACTCCGACCACTGGCACCGTGGCTGGCCCTGCAGTGCACGTTATGCTGTTGCTGTTGTATTTGACTGATGGTTGAATGGTTTTAACTGGGTTTTGTATTTTTTTTAAAAACTCACAAAGCTTGTTGGCTGTCTTGGAGGCCCACGTTAGTGAGACTCCAAAGGCAAGACTGAAAGGGTGAGGGAGATTCAAAGGTAGTCTGGCTTACTTTCCAGTAAACTCCCTCCAGAAGGCCTTTGATGGTAATTATTTTGTGCACATGTAAAACAATGGAAGGCACGGAATCCTCTGGAAATGGAGGCCATTTTGCTCCTGGTGAGCCTTGCTTTTCTAGCTGCTGCTCAGTATGGGTGGGTGTTTGGGTCACGGTGCTTGCTCAGAAATACCAGTGGGAATTTCTGGAAAGCATCAACCCTTGGATGAGGGTTTTCATTGGGAGTTGACTGAGCCTGTTTCCTCCCTATGCCTTTTGGTTGTTTAGGGGAGGACCTCAAAGTTGTCCAGAAGGAGGTAGCTGACATCCTAAGGGGAAGGATTCTGGTTGGACACGCTCTTCACAATGACTTAAAGGTACAGGACCACACCCTTGCATTTCAGTGTTGACAGCTGTGGATCTTTGAACAGAGATGAACAATCTCCTCTCACTCTTTATAAGCCCACAGAAGTCTCCCGTTTTGCGATATTTTCTAGCTGTGTGTGGTAGCCTTCCTGTGGCAGCAGAGGAGTGCAAAATGTTGGTTGCTTCTGTCCTGGGTTCTTTTTTTTAATAAATTTCAAACTGTTGCATGGTTTTTTTAATAAATTTCAAACTGTTGCACCTGAGCCTTCCGCCTGGATCTATCAAGTGATTAGTACCTGCTGTCTGCTCCCTGAGTGATTACAGGAGATGCATTTGACCTTTCAGATTCTGTTTCTTGACCATCCTAAAAAGAGAATCCGGGACACGCAAAGATACAAGCCTTTCAAGCAACAGGTCAAGGTAAGCCCTGAGCTGAAGTTCAGCCTTTTACCACCACAGTGCCTTAATGGAGGAGACCAGGAGCAATGAATAGCAGAACAGTGGGCAGTTTCAGTGTATTTATGGACAATGGGAGGCAATGTAGTTGTCCGAAAAACCCCATTGCCAGTTCAGGCACCTGGAATAATCTGCAAAAAATCTGGTTGTCATTTGGCTTCTGATTCTTCCTCTTCTTGGAGAGAAATGTCACTGCCTTGTCTCCTCCAAACGGCAGAAAGACTCACTGCCAAGCTGCTGCAGGAATTCTCTTCCTGAACGGCAGCCTGGCTCTTCATGGCAACAAGGATGCCCTCTTGTGGGCTCTGCGTTTATCTAGCAAATATGGGGAAATGGCCTGCTAGTCTGAGCGGGTGGGAGCACTCGTGGACTAATTTGCTTTGTTTCTTTTAGACGGAAGTCATTTTTTAGATTTAGATTTATACCCTGCTTTTCTCATATTCGGAGCATCTTGTGCTAAATCATGCAAATAAGGAACTTCCGGAGCAGTCCTCCGCTTCTTTCTGCTGGCATTCCAGCAGGGGACCATCTTTCTGTGATTCTGTTCACAGGTTCATTTGTTCTTCTTTGGGTGCTTCCAGACGTAGTTTTCTGAAGAACTAATCCGTTTGGTTGCCCTTGCAGCCCAAGTTGTGGGTCGCTTCCCAGCAACAGTGGGGAACAGAGCAAAGTTATTGTCTTCAAACACAATGGTTTCTTGTTTCCATAGAGTGGGAGACCATCCCTGAAACTGCTCTGTGAGAAACTGCTGAATGTGAAAGTACAGCGTTTGGAGCACAGCTCGGTATGTATTCTGTCCCAAGAACTGCTTCACTATATCAGACCAAAGGCCCAAGGAGTCCAGCATTAGGTCTTCAGGAGTCTTCAAGCATTAGGTCTTCAAGGCCAGATACTCCTCAAGGAAAGGGTAGGAAAATGTATTATGTTTTTGCAGGGAGGTGGTTTTTGTTATCTCCCAAAGCCTTTAAATGGGCTATAATTACAGCTCATCTACTAATCAGAGGTTGATTGAACATGCATTGAACATGGAAGTTCCATTTCACATAGTTGCAATGTGGTCCAATTGACCTATTATTATTACAATAGGCACCACCCTTTGATATACTAGACAGTCATGCCTCCTTTCCTTCACTTTAGATCAGCTCCGTCATAACAGAGCTTCATCTGAATCTGTAGCTCACTTCTTCTGACATGGTGAATACAACTCCTGCTGCTTGTGTCAGAACAATTTAGCCTTGTGTATTAGTGGCAGGGATTTTTTGTTATTTTAAGGTGCATTTAGACTGAACAATATAGAGTTCACCACTTCATGTAGGAAATGGCCTTCAAAGATCTGGGGCTGCAGATAGAAAATCATATCACTTTAAAGACTGTGTTTTTAAATGGAGGTAGTTTACACACTGCCCTGACTTTGATAAGACAGATCCAGGTGGGTCGCTGTGTTGGTCTGAAGCAGCAAAACAAAGTTTGAGTCCAGCGGCACCTTTAAAACCAACAAAGTTTTATTCTGGGTAGAAGCTTTCGTGCACTTTGTTGGTCTTAAATGTGCCACTGGACTCAAATTTTGTTTGTTTAATAAGACAATAAGGCAGGCAGGTTGAGAAATAGCTTCAGGAATCTCCATCAACAATCCTTAGGTGAATTCTAATACTTCATTTCGTCAACCCCTAAGCAGTTCAGCAGTGAATTGTTCAGATGAGAGGGCAGTCCAAAATGACAAAAACCAGTGGAGATACCACCCAAAATCAGTTTGACTAGTCAATACAGGAATGAAAAAAATCATAGCAAGCAATCACAAGTTTATCAATAGATACAAAAAATAAAAACTGGAGATCTATTGCTATATATATATATATATTGTTATGAGATATATATAGATAGATATAGATATGTATGTGTATATATATATATATATGTATGTATGCATACATACACACACACACACACCCTGCTTTTGTATATACGCTGACACACAAGACCCCTTTGAAACATTTAAATAAGCACTTAAGCACCAGCTCTTTGTGATATTTTAAAACTAGTTTAGTCCATCAGTGGCTATTAGCCAAAAGGTATAGATAGGGGCTCTGGGGTAAGTAATGCTCTGTCTTCTTGGTGCTTGGAGGAGGGTCAACAATTGGAGGGCTTCTAATGTCCTGGCCCCACTGGTGGACCTCCTGATGGCACCTGGTATTTCTGGCCACTGTGTGACACAGGGTGTTGGACTGGATGGGCCTTTTGGCCTGATCCAACATTGGTGTCTCTTATGTTCTTAAAACAGAACCTAAACTAGCAAAGGGATCTTTTGGAGGTTTGCTTTTTGATGCACAAATATCAGCCAAACATTTTCAGCACTTTCAAGATAAATGTTAGACTTCATAAGTCAGCCATATTTTTCTGAAATTTGGGCCAAGTTTCATTCCTCAGGGCAAGATCCTCCATGTCACAGTTCAGACGGATGGCACCAGGGAACTCAGCAGTAGGCAAAGTAGAATGTTCAAGCATTACGGTGGTTAGACTGTTCTCACTGCTGAATAGCAAGTTGTTCCTCCCGAGAGAAATGGAGCCATGCAGGCTCATCTGAGAGCCGTCAGGAGCAGCCGCAGCCCTTTTGCAGTGCTTCAGACATGGGCAGCCATGAGTTTGCACCCTTGTCCACCTGTGCCGGGGCTCCTGGATTCATTAGTTTAGTGGATTTGAAACTCACGGATGGTTTTCCTTTTTCAGATCCAGGATGCCCAGGCAGCGATGAGGCTCTACATGATGGTTAAGAAGCAGTGGGAAGCATCGCTCAAAGTACCAGCAAAGGCAGAGAGAAAATGAGTCTGTGGATATTCCCATCCTGTCCTGACTGAAATCTTTGAAGTGCCAGAATGGCTTTTCTTCACTGACTGCTTCTTTTTGTGCTGAATCCGTCACCATGCAGGAATTAATTTAAAATAATTTGGCTACTAAACTTCACTTTGTGGTGTCTTTTATGACCAAAAATGTCCTGGAGCCTTCCTAGAGTCATGAGTATGGAGAGCAGCGGAAGCGTACTTGTTATCAAATGTTTTTTAAAACGACTGAATTGGGGTCAGCTCCCAGTATCCTGGTTGCCTGCCTAAGGGCGGCACAAGACCTGAAGAGCAACCTGGGGAAGGGGGGGGGTCAATGGCTGCTCACACAGAGCCATAAGAACATAAGAGACGCCAATGTTGGATCAGGCCAAAGGCCCATCCAGTCCAACACTCTGTCACACAGTGGCCAAAAATACCAGGTGTCATCAGGAGGTCCACCAGTGGGGCCAGGACATTAGAAGCCCTCCCACTGTTGCCCCCCCCCAAGCACCAAGAAGACAGAGCATCCCTAGCCCCAGAGTCCCTATCTATACCTTGTGGCTAATAGCCACTGATGGACCTCTGCTCCATATGCTTATCTAATTCCCTTTTGAAGCCGTCCATGCTTGTAGCCGCTGCCACTTCCTGTGGCAGTGAATTCCATGTGTTAATCACTCTTTGGGTGAAGAAGTACTTCCTTTTATCCGTTTTAACCCGACCGCTCAGCAATTTCATGGAGTGCCCATGACGTCTTGTATTGTGAGAAAGGGAGAAAAGTACCTCTTTCTCTACCTGCTCTATCCCATGCATAATCTTATAAACCTCAATCATGTCACCCCTGTCGTTGTTTCTCCAAGCTAGAGCCCCAAGCGCTTTAACCTTTCCTCATAGGGAAAGTGTTCCAACCCTTTTATCATTCGAGTTGCCCTTTTCTGCACTTTTTCCAAAGCTATAATATCCTTTTTAAGGTGGTGTGACCAGAACTGCACACAGTATTCCAAATGAGGCCACACCATCGATTTATACAGGGGCATTATGATACTGGCTGATTTGTTTTCAGTTCTCTTCCTAATAACCCCCAGCATAGCATTGGCCTTCTTTATTGCAGTCGCACACTGTCTCGACATTTTCAGTGAGTTATCTACTACACCTCCAAGATCTCTCTCTCGGTCAAATCTCTGCCAGTTTGGACCCCATCAATGTGTATTTATATTTAGGATTTTTGGCCCCAATGTGCATCACCTTGTACTTGGCCACACTGAACCCCATTTTGCCATGTTGACGCCCACTTGCCCATCCTTGACAGATCCCTTTGGAGTGCCTCACAATCCTCCCTGGTTTTCACCACCCTGAACAACTTCATACCCTCATTTCTCTCTCGATCTGCTGGGCAAACACCAGAGCAGCAGCAGCAGCAGCGTCCTGCTTGTGCACCTAGTGCTGCCCCTTCTGCAGCTGACTTCTGAGTGTGCATGCTGTTGCATTCGGTTTGTCTGATGAGCATGAGGCGACCACAAGTGGAAGAGCAGGCTGGGAACCGCCGCTGGCCTCACTTGCCGTCCACTCCTGTGTCTGAAATTGGATACAGCCTTTGAAGGCCCAAATACAAGTGACACAGTATGATCTGTGGCTGTCGCTGCCATTTTAAAACTGACTTTAAAATGGCAGGAGAGGCCCATGTCCTCTCACTTGTCCCTTGTCCCTGAGTAAGTGTTTCGCAGAGAAGCGAAAGATATCACTGGGCTCATGCAGATCCCTTCCATGAGCCTCAATATCTCTGGATCACCAGCTTCTGAAATAAAGCCACACCTTTACTGCCTGACCTGTAGACAGCCCGGGCACGCTAGTCTCGCTGCATGTTTATTAACTGCGCAACAATCTGATGACATAAGTAACAGAAATTACAATTCCTTAGAATCTTGTTGCTGTTTATCTTGAGGTTGCTGACAAAGATGGGAGTCTCTTGCTGTGGTGGATGTCACATTTCAGGGGAGGTACCCTGCAAGTGTAGGGGGGAAAACACATTTTAAAAGCATGGATGGGATCCCGCAGATTTGTTCCACTAATGGAAGTGCCTTTCTCTGGCAGGAGAGCCCCTCCTGCCAGTAGTAGGGTTGTGGTGCTGGAGGAAAGCCCAGCTGTTAGCAAAATGGATCGGCAGGATTCAAGCCAATAGATGTTCCAGAAAGATCTGACACCCCCCCCCCCACTATATTGCCATCGTGGGGGGTGGCCCTGAGAAGGAACATCCGAACATTGAAGCCACTGACTGTCTACCAGGAACTTTTCCGTCATCTTTGGGTTTTGAAGTCTTGAAGATCACTGAGCACTTTACTTGAATTAGGATTGGTTTTAAACTGTATAGTATATTTTTTTAAAACTATATATATATTATGTTTTATTGTAGCACGATATTCTTGCCTTGTAAGCCGCCCTGAGCCCTGCGGGGGAGGGCGGGGTATAAATTTGATAAATAAATAAAATTGCTGAAGGTTTTGTTTTTAAATTTGTTTACCTTTTTTTTGCAGTTTGGAGAGTGCCTTGTCTGCCAAGGTAACAATTTCCTGGAGATGGGAATGCAAAAAAAAAAGAAAGAAAGAAAGCCTCAGTGTGTTCATGTTTTGTTTTCTTCTCTTAAAAAAGCTATTTGGCAGCTACTGTGCTGCTTCAGTGTCATGCCTCTACCCAGATACCCAGTGCCACTCCCCCTTTCAGGTTATAGAGCAGGAAATAATAAAGGCCAACAGTGAATGTAAACAGTGGTCCCTCTAAGCTCCACGGTGTTGTGGGCAAAAATTCTACCTCATGAGCAAAAAATGCTAGCACCATTAAAGTTGTGAGCGAGTCTACATTTGACTATTGCATACATTATTTTTAGAAGATTGTTTCTATAACCTTGTAAATGAATTCTTTTAAACTGTATTTAAATTACATTTTAAGAACAATTTAAACATTATAAGAGAAAACAGAATTAAGTCAAATTTTATTACACAAAATGTTGTCCTCTGCAGGGGTAGACCAGGCCTCCGGAGAACAGGTCTGCCTGCCCCAGTCCACTATTGGTAGACCTGGCCTCCAGAGAACAGGTCTCCCCAACCCTTTCCATTATTTGTTGCAGATTTTCTGGGTTGTATGGCCATGGCCTTGGCATTGTAGGACCTGACATTTCGCCAGTAGCTGCGACTGGCATCCTCAGAGGTATAACACAGAAAGATGGAGTAATCTCTGTGTCAAGGTGAGAAGAAAAATGGTAGGCAGTTACATAAGAACATAAGAACATAAGAGACGCCAATGTTGGATCAGGCCAAAGGCCCATCCAGTCCAACACTCTGTGTCACACAGTGGCCAGAAATACCAGTGCCATCAGGAGGTCCAGCAGTGGGGCCAGGACATTAGAAGCCCTCCCACTGTTGACCCCCCCCAAGCACCAAGAAGACAGAGCATCACTTGCCCCAGAGCCCCTAGCTATACCTTGTGGCTAATAGCCACTGATGGACCTCTGCTCCATATGCTTATCTAATTCCCTTTTGAAGCCGTCCATGCTTGTAGCACCCACCACTTCCTGTGGCAGTGAATTCCATGTGTTAATCACTCTTTGGGTGAAGAAGTACTTCCTTTTATCCGTTCTAACCCGACCGCTCTGCAGTTTCATGGAGTGCCCACGAGTTCTTGTATTGTGAGAAAGGGAGAAAAGTACCTCTTTCTTTACCTGCTCTTTCCCATGCATAATCTTATAAACCTCGATCATGTCACCCCTCAGTCGTCTTTTCTCCAAGCTAAAGAGCCCTAAGCGCTTTAACCTTTCCTCATAGGGAAAGTGTTCCAACCCTTTTATCATTCGAGTTGCCCTTTTCTGCACTTTTTCCAAAGCTATAATATCCTTTTTAAGGTGTGGTGCCCAGAACTGCACACAGTATTCCAAATGAGGTCTCACCATTGATTTATATAGGGGCATTATTATATTGGCTGATCTGTTTTCAATACCCTTCCTAATAATCCCCAGCATAGCATTGGCCTTCTTTATTGCAGTCACACACTGTCTCGACATTTTCAGTGAGTTATCCACTACAACTCCAAGATCTCTCTCTTGCTCAGTCTCTGCCAGTTCAGACCCCATCAATGTGTATTTATATTTAGGATTTTTGGCTCCAATGTGCATCACCTTGCACTTGGCCACATTGAACCCCATTTGCCATGTTGACGCCCACTCGCCCATCCTTGACAGATCCCCTTGGAGTGCCTCACAATCCTCACTGGTTTTCACCACCCTGAACAACTTTGTATCATCCGCAAATTTAGCCACTTCACTGCTTACTCCCATCTCCAAATCATTAATGAACAAGTTAAAAAGCAGTGGACCAAGTACTGATCCCTGCGGTACCCCACTGCTTACCACCCTCCACTGAGAAAATTGCCCACCTACACTCACTCTCTGTTTTCTATGAACTAGCCAGTTTTTGATCCATAAAAGGACTTGTCCTTCTATCCCATGATTTTTGAGCTTACTTAGGAGCCTTTGATGAGGAACTTTATCAAAAGCTTTCTGGAAGTCAAGGTAAATAATATCTATTGGATCCCCCTTGTCCACATGTTTGTTCACCCCCTCAAAGAACACTAACAGGTTAGTGAGACAAGATCTTCCCTTACAGAAACCGTGCTGAGTCTGCCTCAATAGGTTTTGTTCATCTATGTGCCTACTAATTAATTTATATCTACTCAGTTAATTTATATCTACTCAGGGTTAGATATATATATAGATATAGAAGGGTTAGAGCTGAGTCATTATTTTGTAGGAGTTCCCCAGGCTATGAACATGCTAATGGAGGAACTTTCCTGAGGAGGTTCTTTTGCATGTGGATTCTAATCTTATTCGTAGTGCTATTGTCAGATGTAGAGCCTTTTGTGTTTTTCAGGACAGGAAACCATGCCCTATTTATTTTTAAACTCTCATTGAAATTGTTTTTATGTTTATGAATTTCTATGGCTTCCCCGTGTAATCTACATTCTTGCCGTCTACTTCATGTTTTTAGTGAAATATGACAACCAGCATTACAGATCAAGTATAACAGTGGTGGAATAATTACTGTCAGAACCCTGCCTTAACAGGAAGCTGCTTAAATCTTATCA